TGTTCAACCTAAGTCACAAGATAGTATTGCAAATAACACATATTCTCTCTATTCTCGAATCCTGCAAAAACAATAAATACGTTTGCTAATTAATTAGGTAATTAATTGATAAATAAACAAATTCGTGCATAAATAAAACAATAAATAAATATGAAAATAAATAATTATATATTAAAAACCCACAAATTCCTGCATAAATAAATATTTAAATACTGTGGCCAGATTAATAATTAAATAAATTACAGGGATATGGGGCATTTATTTGCGTATTTATTTATTTATTATTTTATTTATGAAGAAATTTGTGTATTAATTAATTAATTAATTTCCGTATTTATGTATTTATTGTTTTATTTATACAGGAATTTGTGTACTTATTCATTAATAAGTTGGTTAATTTATTTGCTTATTTATTTATATATTGTTTCATTTATGCACGAATTTGAGTATATTTTTATTTATTTATATATTTATTTGCGTATTTATTAATTTATGTATTTATTTACTTATTGTTTATGCAGGTTTCATCCTCCATACACTATTAAATAAACAAACAAATAAATAAACAAATAAACAGCCCGAAAAAAAGATCGAATACGCTACTGTCGTAAAAGCGCGCCACGAACCGGAAGTAGTAGTGAATCAAGTTACCAGAGACGAAGCACATTGTTTCGCGGCATGTTTCATATTTGTGTTGAACGAAAAGAAAGTTGCTTCATTTTACAGTAGTTTTATTATTAATATTTCTAAGCTGGGACGAGTTTACGCACAGTGTATCTGCAGGAAGTGCACCAGAAAGCGCTTATTCAAAACGGCATTCAGCAGGAGAGTGTTTGAATGAAGCGTCTCCATCGAGTTTTGTGTTGATTTCTACATAATTTAGTTTTCAGCGGGATTTTAATTCACCAAACTGAGCATTTAGTGTATCCTGCTGGAGTATAAATGGCTGGGATTCTGTTCGAGGATATCTTTGATGTGAAGGATATCGATCCTGATGGGAAGAAGTTTGACAGAGGTGATTCATTCATTCACTTATTTATTTACTGGATAAAACAAAAGTCTCTTCAATGTATTTTATAACGTTAGTTATTGATAAAACTTACAAACAGCATGAAGATTTAGATTGAGGTAAAGTTGGTTTATATTCGCACATTCCTTCATTTAACGTTCCCCATGCTCACATGTAAATCACATGTAAACATGACTTTAAAACAACATTAGCACTATTTAATTGACTGACTAATGCTGTACTCGGATAGTCATTGGCTGCTAATATGACTTCAATATTTAAAGTTTGCAAATAATACTATTATTTAATGAAATTATTAAGGAGAAAGTCTAAATGTGCGAATATAAAACTACCTCAATAAGGTATATTTGTTGGTTCGATTATTTATCATACAATAATAATCAGACTTAATGTATACTTATTAATACTACTTTAGTGATGGATGTTGGAGAGCTTAACGCTTTTTAATTTAGCTTATACATTTTCTTGATCATATATATTTAAAATAAAAATATGAATATATTAAATTAAAAATTTAGTTTTTTTACATTGTCAATGTCAATTTAAATGCAAATAAAACAATATTATTGTTATTACTATTAATAATAATATTGTTTATTATTTTATATATTTAATATTATTTTTGTTGGTGCTACCTAAATAATATACAGTGATCAGAATTAAAAATAAAATCAAAACAAATTGTGTAAAAGGCATATCTGAAGGCAGAGCTGTTTATTCAGTTACTGTTTTTATATATAGAGGTAAAGTTGGTTTTATATTCGCACATTCGTTCATTTTGTAGTCTCTATATCGCTGACCATCCATGTTACATTGAATATTCCATCAGGAATTAGCATGTCAGTATGACTTCTAAACAACAGTAACACTATCTGATTAACCGTAAACAATGTTGTACTTTGATATTCAAATGCTAATATGATTTCCCTATTTATAATTCGCAAAGAATACTTTGTCTGAAATTATATTATTAAGGAGAGCGTCTGAATATATCCGAATATAAAACCAACTTTACCTCTGAAGATCTTTTATTTATCATACAATAATAATTAAACTTATTGTATACTTATAAATACTAATTTAATAATGGATGTTGAAGAGCTTAAAGTTTTCATTTAACTTATACATTTTCTTGATCATGCATATTTAATATTTACTTTAAATGGAAAAAAAATTAATATATTAAATAAAAATTAATAATAATAAAATAAAATAATAATATAAAATGTTAAATGTCAATTTAAATGCAAATAAAACAATGTTAATATTACTATTAATAATAATATAGTTTTTTAGTACTTAGAATTTTTAAATCTATATTCTCTTTAATATTCTTTTTGTTGATGCTACCTAAATAATATATAGTGATCAAAATCAAAATAAAATCAAAACAAACTGCGTAAAAGGCATATCTGAAGGCAGAGATGTTTATTTAATTACTTTATATATATATATATATATATATATATATATATATATATATATATATATATATATATATATATATAAACAAATATTTTTTCTTTCTAAAAGTCTATAAATCACTAAACGCACATGATTTGTTGTTTTGTATTTGTGATGATCAGTTTCTCGTCTTCACTGTGAAAGTGAGTCTTTCAAGATGGACCTCATCCTGGACGTCAACATCCAGATTTACCCTGTTGATCTTGGTAAGTCACTGTACTTGCTCTCTGTGTTGATGATGTTGTTGTTTTGAGTTCATATCATCATGATAACGGGCTGCATAGAGGTAAAGTTGGTTTTATATTCGCACATTCAATCAATGATGTCATGTGCAAACCACCTATAATCCATTACCTTTTTACATTTTCATATTGTTACCTGTCTACTTATCTGTTAATTTGGTCATTGCATAAATAAATGATAAAAAAAAATAAAGTAATTTCTCCAGTGTTTTGTTCAGACGAACGAAATTGTATGATTTTAAAAAGGAGGCGTGGCACCTAACCCCACCCCTAAACCTGACCGTCATTAGGGGATGAGCAAATCGTACTAAAATGTATTTATTAATTAGATCGTACGAATTAGCCACTAAATGAAAAAGTTACGAATTGCCGTGAGATTGTGTGGGTTTTATCAGCACTCCAACAGTATTTACATGTTTTTCCGGTATCCTGCTGCCCTAGTGATGATAATGTTGTGTTGCTGTCATATGCTAATGAGGATGATGTCATTGTGTCAGGTGACAAGTTCAGACTGGTGATCGCCAGCACTCTTTATGAGGACGGGACGCCGGACGATGGAGAATACAATCCTCAAGATGACCGGCCGTCCAGGTCATACATTACTCCTAAACTAAATCTTAGATATGTCATGTCTACGATCAAATCAAATCAAATCAGGCCTTTTTTGTCACACTTTCGTATAGTGAAATAGAATCCATACATGTCACAGGAGGTAGCATTTAATATGGTAATTTAATTTAAATGATGTGTGAGCTGATGTTATGCAACTCCATTGAATGAATGGTGAAGCAGCCAATAATTCCAACAATAAAACCCTTTAATTGGCGTGTTTTTATGTGTATATTGTATGAATAGGGTTGGGGAAAATTACTTGACAAAAATGTAAATTAATTACTAATGACATCATTAAAGTTGTGTTTAAATGACTTTTCTAGTATTATGACTGATGGGTAACTTTATTAATCAATGAGGAATTGTCTAACTTAAATCACTGCTACTTTAAATCCGCAAAAAGGTCAACAAACAGACAATTGTAAATGAAACTCGGTGGTCTTTGTTGTTGTTTTGCAGAGCTGATCAGTTTGATTATGTGATGTACGGAAAGGTTTATAGGATTGAAGGAGATGAAACGTCTACAGAAGCCGCCACACGACTGTGAGTGTTGATTTATTTGCCTATTTACTACTTTTTTTTTTTTTTTTTTTACAGGGATTTTACAATATAGGTTAATGCATGAAATGTGTGCTATTTTTATCAAGGTATTTTAAAGTAAACATTTAATTAGCATTATTATCATTTATCAACTGTTGGGAAAATGCATTTGAAAGAGAATTCTGAATCGATTCAGAGATATGCAAAATGCATCTTTATTCAGTTTTGAGCTTTTTTGCTCTTAAACACTAGCCTAGAGCGCCACCTGCTGTTATAAAGTAGCATAGAGCGCCATCTGCTGTTAAAAAATGGCCTTGAGCGCCACCTGCTGTTAAACTAGTCTAGAGCGCTGTCTGCTGTTATTAACTAGCCTACAGCATTGTCTGCTGTTAAAAATGAGCCTACTGCGCTGCCTGTAGTGGAAAAGGAACCTAGAGTGCCATCTGGTGGTAATAACTAGCCTAGAGCGCCATCTGCTGTTCACAACTACCGTAGAGTGCCGACTGCTGCTGTTAAAATCTAGCCTAGAGCGATATCTGCTCTTAAAACTAGTGTAGAGCGCTGTCTGTTGTTAAAAATTAGCGTAGAGCACTACCTGCTGGTCAGTACTAGCCTAGAGTGCCATCTGCTGTTAAAAACTAGTCTAGAATGACAACTGCTTTTAAAAACTAGCCTGGGACACCTTCTGTTGCTAAAAAAACTAGCCTAAAGTGCCACCTGCTTTTTAAAAACTAGCCGAGAGTGACATCTGCTGTTTAAAACTATCGTAGAGTGATACTGCTGCTGTTAAAATCTAGCCTAGAGCAACATCTGCTGTTAAAAACTAGTCTATAATGCCTTCTGTTGCTTAAAAGAACTAGCCTAAAGAGCTAACTGCTGTTAAGAACTAGCCCAGAGAAACATCTGCTGTTAAAACTAATGTAGAGCGCAGTCTGTTGTTAAATTAGCGTAGAGCGCCACCTACTGGTCAGAACTAGCCTAGAGCGCCATCTGCTGTTAAAAACTAGTCTAGAGCGCCTTAAAATTTTAAAAAGAACTAGCCTAAAGAGCTAACGGCTGTTTAAAAATTAGCCTAGAGCGACATCTGCAGTTAAAACTAGCCTAGAGTGCCATCTGCTGTTGAAAACTAGTCTAGAATGCCTTCTGTTGATAAAAAAACTAGCCTAAAGAGCTAATTGCTGTTAAAAACTAGCCTAGAGCAACATCTGCTGTTTAAACTAGTGTAGAGCGCTGTCTGTTGTAAAATTAGCAAAGAGTGCCACCTACTGTTCAGAACTAGCCTAGAGCGCCATCTGCTGTTAAAAACTAGTCTAGAACGCCTTATGCTGTTTAAAAAAACTAGCCTAAAAAGCTAACTGCTGTTAAAAACTAGCCTAGAGCGACATCTGCTGTTAAAAACTAGCCTAGAGCGACATCTTCTGGTAAAAACTAGTCTAGAACGCCTCTTGTTGCTAAAAAAACTAGCCTAAAGAGCTAACTGCTATTAAAAACTAGTCTAGAGCGACATCTGTTGTTAACATCCCAGTATCAATGGAAAATCTATTTCTGTAATGCATTTCCTAACTAAAACTAGTCTAGAATGCCTTATGTTGTTAAAAAGAACTAGCTTAAAGAGCTAACTGCTGTTAAAAACTAGCCTAGAGCGCCGTCTGTTGTCAGATTAGCGTAGAGCACCACCTGCTGCTCAAAATTAGCCTAGAGGGCCATCTGCTGTTAAATACTAGTCTAGAAAGCCTCTTGTTGCAAAAAAAAAAAAAACTAGCCTAAAGAGCTAACTGCTGTTAAAACTAGCCTAGAGCAACATCTGCTGTTAAAAACCCAGTATCAATGGAAAATCTATTTCTGTAATGCATTTCCTAACTAAAACTAGTCTAGAACGCCTCTTGTTGTTAAAAAGAACTAGCCTAAAGAGCGAACTGCTGTTAAAAACTAGCCTAGAGCCCGGTCTGTTGTCAAATTAGCGTAGAGCACCACCTGCTGCTCAAAATTAGCCTAGAGTGCCATCTGCTGTTAAAAACTAGTCTAGAACGCCTCTTGTTGCTAAAATAAATTAGCCTAAAGAGCTAACTGCTGTTAAAAACTAGCCTAGAGCGACATCTGTTGTTAAAATCCCAGTATCAATGGAAAATCTATTTTTGTAATGCATTTCCTAACTAAAACTAGTCTAGAACGCCTTATGTTGTTAAAAAGAACTAGCCTAAAGAGCTAACTGCTGTTAAAAACTAGCCTAGAGCGACATCTGTTGTCAAATTAGCATAGAGCACCACCTGCTGCTCAAAATTAGCCTAGAGTGCCATCTGCTGTTAAAAACTAGTCTAGAACGCCTCTTGTTGCTAAAAAAAAATTAGCCTAAAGAGCTAACTGCTGTTAAAAACTAGCCTAAAGTGACATCTGCTGTTAAAATGCCAGTATAAGTGCAGAATCTATTTCTGTAATGCATTTCCTCATCCACTCTATTGTTGCTGTAGCAGTGAGTGAATGTTTATATGTGTGTGTGTGCACAGATCAGCGTACGTGTCGTATGGAGGCCTGCTGATGCGTCTTCAAGGCGATGCTAATAATCTGCACGGGTTTGAAGTGGACAGCAGAGTTTATCTGCTGATGAAGAAACTGGCGTTCTGAAGGCTTCATCGAGGACTTTATAATAACTCTGCTCCCCTTTCATGACAAACTGTGGCCCTTGGGTAATCTCAAAATATCTGCTCATCATTTGAAAGCAAATGCCCTGATAAAGGTTTTGCATCTCATTATTTGCATCCGAGTCATGTGACATTCTGCCTGTTTATTTTTTATCAGTAAAAATCAGATTGTGTTAACTAGTAATGGGCTTTTTGGATTTGTTATTTCTTTTCTTTTGCTGGAATAAAATGTTTTCAGACTGCTCATGTGGACAAAAACACAAGTCCTCCTGGTTACTGTCAATTTAAGCAACAGCAAAAAATGTAGTTTCAGCACAAATGGAGATCCAGTTGAATCAAGCTGAAGTGTGTGTGTGAGCGAGAAAGAGAGAAAGAGTGGGTGTCTGTGTGTGAGAACTGTAATAAATATCATGAGACAGACGTCAGAGAGACTGCTTTACTGTCAGCCTGAATGAATGAACACTGCTGGATTTCTGTTTATCCTGCTGCAAATAATATATATATATATATATATATATATATATATATATATATATATATATATATAGACACACACACAGTCGAAGTCAGAATTATTAGCCCCCCTTTGAATTTTCTTTACTTTTTGTAAACATTTCCTAAATGATGTTTAACAGTGCAAGGAAATTTTCATAGTATGTCTGATAATATTTTTTTCTTCTGGAGAAGGTCTTATTTGTTTTATTTATTTTTTTATTAAAACTGTAATAAAAGCAGTTTTTAATTTTTTAAAACCCATTTTAAGGTCAAAATTATAAACCTATTTAAGCAAAAAATGTTTCCCCCATCGTTATACGTAAAATTACTAAAAACTTCAAAATATGAATAAAAATCTTTAGTACAGTAGTGTTTTTATTTATCTATTTGACTACTGTATGTACAGTAAGGGTTGTTTTGACAAAATATCAGCTGTAGTAAGTTGGTCTGGTCTCCGTTAGGTTACTACTAACTTCAAAATATGAATAAAAATCTTTATTAAAGTACAGTAGTGTTTTTATTTATCTATTTGTCTACTGTATGTACAGTAAGGGTTGTTTTTGACAAAATATTACCTGTATTGAGTTGGTCTGGTCTCCGTACAGTTACTACAACCTTCAAAACATGAGAAAAAATCTTTAGAGATATTTGGTAGTTTTTATTTATCTATTTGACTACTGTATTTACAGTAAAGTTGGTTTTGATAAAATATCACATGTAGTAAGTGCATAAAGTTACTACAACCTTCAAAATAGGAATAAAAATGTTTGATGAAGTACAGTAGTGTTTTTATTAATCTATTTGTCTACTGTATGTACAGTAAGGGTGGTTTTGAAAAAGGATCACCTGTAGTTAGGTAGTTAGTTGGTCTGGTCTCAGTGAAGTTATTACAACCTTTAAAATATGAATAAAAATCTTTAAAGATTTTAAAGATACTGTGCGGTAGTGTTTTTATTTATCTATTTGACTACTGTATGTACAGTAAGGGTGGATTTTGACAAAACATTGCCTGTATTGAGTTGGTCTGGTCTCCGTACAGTTACTAAAACCTTCAAAATATGAATACATGTCTTTGGTAAAGTAGAGTTTTTATTTATCTATTTGTCTACTGTATGTACAGTAAGGGTGGTTCTGACAAAACATCACCTTTAGTAAGCTGGTCTCATCTCCATAAAGTTACTACAACCTTCAAAATATGAATAAAGATCTTTAGTAAAGTACAGTAGTGTTTTTATTTATCTATTTGACTACTGTATGTACAGTAAGGGTTGTTTTGACAAAGTATCACCTGTAGTAAGTTGGTCTGGTGATTAGGTATTAGGGCTGCACAACATATGGTTTCAGAATCAATATCGCAATGTGCGCATCCGCAATAGTCACATCGCATATACATGCAATGTTGAGTCTGAATTATAGTTAAGCCGGAGCTCCAGAACACACAAGGTTTGAAGCGCCACTGAAGTTTGTTCATAATAGAGTGAAGATTTAGCATTGGCATGTGTTTTTGCTTTTGACTGAGCATTTTATTGAGTTTGAAATGTTTGTGTACAAAATTTATGTGTAACTATGAATATTAGTATTTAATTATTTATACAGGATTTATCAAATGTATGCGGAAAAAAAACACTTTTTACATTTTTTGTCTTGTTTTTAGTCTAAATATCCACATTTCAAAGTGATTGTACTTCTCCCATTCTTAAAATATAAAAGCATATTTGTTTTCTTGAGTTTTTGTAATTAAAAAAACATTTTCTACCCACAATAAAAGAAATATGTTCTGTTAAGTAAGGGTATTAAATATTTTGAACAGTCAAGCGATATTACATTTACTGTACTAAAATTGTACCAAAGAATTATTCCTGCTTAAAATATGAGCAGAATATAATCAATTCAGAATAAATAATGCAAATAACCTATTTAATAATGCACATAATGAATTCAGAATATAACAACTTTATAATTTAAACACTTTATATAGAAGTATTCGCTGTATATATGAATAGTACAGTGTATAGGTGTCGGTCTCATTACATTGTAAGCAGATAAAGTACATACTTTGGAGCGATTTTAGTACAATAAATTGAATGTCGCTTGACTGCACAAATTATTTACACTATTAATTTACCAGATGAAGGCATATTTCCGTTTTGTGTATATAAAATGTAACATCTAATACAGTAAAACTGCTAATATATCAATACAGTGTGGTTGTTTGCAAACCTTTCCCAGTGAACTCGCGGGAAACCGGTAGTGACGCAACGCCCGGTGACGCTCTCAAGGTGCATCCTTTATCCCCGCAGTCACAGTCCAAATCACTGCGTTCAAATGACGCAATGCACTTTATAAAAACAAACTGACAATCAACCTTACCTCCGAAATGTGAGAAGGAAACACTTGAGCTGCGGTTTTGTCCGGTGTCTGAGTTCATTCCGCTACTCTGAGGGCTCCAGTGCGCGTCTGTAGTGTGCACTAGGCAGTATGCAGTGCGTATTAGGAGTCTCTCAGTAATTGGTCGCAGTGTCCTGGTCATTAGCTGTAAAAAATGGTTTAAAATATTGAGTGTCGAGTTGTAAATCGTGTTTAAAAAGTGTGAAATGGACTTCAGACGCAAGAAGAGACTGACTTTTTTCACTATCGGGCTGATTTTCTTACTGAGCGGCATCGAGTACGGTGAGTTCAGCATCTGAAGTAACTTACACAAGGGGTTATATCTGTATGTCACTGTTTTAAGCGCTGGTATTAAAGTACTGAGTTAATAATAGTGATTTAACATAGCTTACAAATGGTTTATGGAGTATTAACATGTTACGGATTTGTTTTACTGTGATGTTACCATAGGATGTTACTATAAAAAACAACAAAACAATTATGAAATCATTTGCAGTAACGTTAAAGGTTGTGTCTGTATTTCAGTGTGTTAAGCGCTGTTATTAAAGTTCTGAATTAATAATAGAGATTTAACATAGCTTATGAACAGCTACCAGTATTGACGTTACTATGAAAAACAAAATAATTATGAAGTAACTTACAGTAATGTTAGGGGTTAAATCTGTATTTCAGTGTTTTAAGCGCTGTTATTAAAGTACTGAATTAATAATAGAGATTTAACATGGCTTACGAATGATGTATGGTTTAATAACTGACAGAACTAGAGTATTAACATTTATTTTACTGTGATGTAACATTACTATGAAAAACAACAAAACAATCATGAAGTCATTTACATTAAAGAGAATATCTGTATTTCAGTGTTTTAAGCGCTGTTATTAAAGTACTGAATTAATAATAGAGATTTAACATAGCAAATGTCTAACTTAGAGTATTAACATGGTACTAATGGATTTTAACTTTACTATGACGTAAGGTTGCTATGAAAAACAACAAAACAATTATGAAGTAATTTACAGTAAGGTTAAAGTTATATATCTGTATTTCAGTGTTAACAAAGTACTGAATTAATAATAGAGATTTAACATAGCTTACGAATGATGTATGGTTTATTAACTGACAGAACTAGAGTATTAACATGGATTTTACTGTGATGTAACATTACTATGAAAAACAACAAAACAATCATGAAGTCATTTACATTAGAGAGAATATCTGTATTTCAGTGCTGTTATTAAAGTACTGAATTAATAATAGAGATTTAACATAGCTTATGAACAGCTACCAGTATTGACGTTACTATGAAAAACAAAATAATTATGAAGTAACTTACAGTAATGTTAGGGGTTATATCTGTATTTCAATGTTTTAAGCGTTGTTATTAAAGTACTGAATTAATAATAGAGATTTAACATGGCTTACGAATGATGTATGGTGTACTAGAGTATTACCGTAGTACGGATTGCTTTTACTGTGATGTAACGTTATGAAAAACAACAAAAAATGTTATTCATTCATTTTCCTTCGGCTTAGTCCCTTTATTCATCAGGGGTCGCCACAGGGGAATGAACCACCAATTTATCCAGCATATGTTTTACACAGCGGATGACCTTCCAGCCGCATCTCAGCACTTGGAAACATCCATACACATTCATTAACACACATACACTACGGATAATTTAGTTTATTTAATTCACCTCTAGTGCATGGCTTTGGACTATGGGTGAAATCGGAGCACCTGGACAAAGCCCACACCGACACGGAGAGAACATGCAGAACATGTAGAACTCTAAACAGAAACGCCACCTGACCCAGCCGAGGCTTGAACCTGTGACGTTCTTGCTGTGAGGTGACAGTGCTAACCACTGAGCCACCGTGTCGCCCTATTATTTTATTTTATTTTACTTTGCTCAGCATATGTTCATCCCTCACAAACTCTCTTATTAATGAATATTTTCTATAGGATGCTTTGCAATATTAAATTTGTGCATATACATTAGATTAGTCAATGCTCAAGCCAAATCTGGAGCTCATCTAACAAAAAAAAACTTAGTAATGGTCCAAAAATCAGTAGCCCAAATTTATATGTTAGGGAAAAAAAAATGAAAACGCTAAAGTCAAGAGAAACAAAAACTATATGTACAATTGTGTTGAAATGTTGTAGTTTGTAATGTTTTTCGCAATATTTGGCATGATTTAAAAGCATTATCTTTCTATTTATAAAGATGTTTGGCGACTAAAATATTATTTTAATAAATATACCTGTTTATTAAATCTGTTTTATTCAAATGCACTAAAATATATGACCCATATTCACAGAGAAATGGATAAAAATGTTCAGTTTCATAATAGGGTGTACTCATTTATGCTGAGTACAAACTGTACCAAGTAATGCAACGTTCAATACTAATATTTTATTAGGGAATAATCTGACATTGCAATGTTTAGTATTTCTGTGCTATATTATTGCGATATGAATACTATAATTTCACAAGATGGATTTATTTAAATCGATTGGGGTGATTTTGTAAGGGTGAATCATGTATAAAAAATATTTAAAAACAAATTGCAAGCAGGAATAATTGCAATAGAGCAACGAAAAAAGTTAAATTAACAGTGCCTTATAGTTTTCAAGTACAGAAATGGAATAATGAAATGTAAAATAACACTTTGTTGTATTCATTGGGTGAAATAATTCCTCATTGAATGTACAAATGTACCTTTCTTGTGTCTAAATGCTTTAAACAATCTTGAAAAGTCTTTAAAACACATGCAAATGATAAAGTTTCATTCTGTAATTGGTCACTATAAAAAACGTTGAGTTATTTCTTCAGCCCAATGAATAAATTAAACATATTTGATGCGTTGTTGGAATATTTTAACCTATATTAGGTTATTTAATAATAACTCAACGAGATGAGTTAAATATTCGATGCTTTGTTTGGTTATTTTTAACCTTTATTTGTTTATTTATTTATTGTATAACTGAACCAGTTGGGTTAAAATTTTAAATTTCAACAGTCAGTTGATTAAACAGCGACATTAATATGCGTACGTAATGTTGTTTTTGCGTTGTAAAGTTTATTTAAGCTCTAACGTAATAATACTGGTGTTTTTATTATTATTAAATTACCTCTCGTGACGCGTTTTTTGTATTCCTTTCACCAGCACTCTTAATTACTGATGATACAAACGTGTGCTTCATGGCCAATAAAACGCTTTCTCTACACTCCAAAAAACATTGAATTATTTATTTAACCCAATGCTTGAGATAAACTTATTTGGTGCTTTGTTGGGTTATTTTTAACCTTTATTTGGTTATTTATTAATAACTCAGCCAGTTGGGTTAAATATTTGAATTTCAACAGTTAACTAATTTAACTGACACAGAACAGCTGCATTAATATGCGTATGTAATGTTGTTTTTGCGTTGTAAAGTTTATTTAAGCTCTAACATAATAATATTGGTGGTATTTTTTTATTATCAAATTACCTCTCGTGACATGTTTTTTCTATTCCTTTCACCAGCACTCTTAATTGATGATACAAACGCGTGCTTCATGGCCGAAAAAACGCTTTCTCTCCCTCCCATGTTCATCTCTACAGTTTTTGTGGGAGAAAATTATATACATATTTTTGGGATATTTGGCTGTCATTCTGGCCTTTAGGACCCAGCGAAGACATTCATTTATTTACCCAGCCATAATTCTAAATTAATAGTAGTACTTTTATAGTAATACCAGAATGGAAAAACGAAAATTTAATCAAAATAACCCAATGCATTGGGTTAGAGCTGCACGATTTTGGCTAAAATAAGAATCGCAATTTTTTTGCCTAAAATAGAGATCAGGATTTTCTCACGATTCTGTAGATGTAAAATAAAGGTTAATATGAGTGGGCTATTATTATTGTTATTCTCAAACATGTGGTAAAACAGCAATAGCAATAGGCTTTGTGTAGCTGTACTGTTGCTTAAAATGCTAAATGTTGTATAGACTTAGAATGGTGGACTTGAACAGATTTTAGATTTGTCCTGGTCATGAATGCTGATGATAATTCAGATATTGGATTATTGTGTTTGAGAAGTATGCTTACAATCTGTCATTTTCTGCTTAAAATCTGTCCCTGACGTGATTTTCGTGAATACAGCAGACTCCGTGGGTATTTTTGCATTTCGGCGGGTTTTGGATACTTTTTGGGCTGGAATCAGTCAGCTTCATCTGGCAACACTGTGTGCGCTTTCGGTTTCATTTTCACTGCTAAGCGGTTCACTTCCCGCGCGGCTCCCAAACGATCACTCTGTGCCACAAACTGAACGTTATTTATGACAGTACTACCTGTTATTCATGAATCACAGCCTGCACAGGTTCTGTTCACTAAAGTAGACTTCATTCAGAGGCGCGCTCGCCCTCTCTGTGGTAACAGCTGACGTTCAGCTCACGTCACGTGTGATTTTGCGGTCGCAATTACATTACATGAAGACAGAAATGACATTTTTGAGGTGAATTATTTCTTATAAATACAGCATGTGACTCTTTCAACATCATTTGGAGGTGTCCACGTTGCTGAGCAACGTATGTAAAACAATGTGAAGACTTGTGCAGCCACCATTGCTTCTCTTCTGAACTTGAAAATATGATTAAAAGAATTGTAGAAATGATGGATTAAGATTGTCTAGGGGGTCGAATCGATCTTTTTTCGAATAATTGTGCAGCTCTACATTGGGTTAAAAATAACCCATAGTTGGAAAGGTGCTATAATAACCTATAGTTGGGTTATATGTTAAGATATTTTTGACCCAACTATTTTAACAGAGTATACTTTGCTATGACTCTACAAATATCATATATTGTCAACTGTTGTGCTTATATATTCCCAACTCATTATTGCAGATTCTGCGATGTGACTATTGCAGACACACACACACTGCAATATCAGTGCTGAAACCGTATGTTGTGCAGCCTTATATTTTATATTTGCCGTTTCTTAATGTAAATCACTCAACTATTTGACCCATAATAGTCGCACTCATCACAAACACGCGGCGTGATGCTGCTGATAACAGTGATTGACTTGTATCTTGTTGCTTATAAGAGTGTTTAGACATTCTTCAGATTGTTGGTTCCTCTTTCACAATAGTAGGTCAATGGAGTTTTGTGCTGATAAACTGACATTCCTTTCTAATCTAATCTAGCAGATAATATCCCAGAATATTCATATATCAGGGCTGTGTGATACTGGAAAAATGTGCAATATTGATGTTGATTTTGCGATTATGTTGTGCAGCCCTAATTCATATTCACTAATGCCCATACAGGGCTCGAAATTAACTTTTTTACTTGGTAGCACCGGTGCTCCCAACTTCAAATATTTAGGAGCACCAAAAAAAATTTGGAGCACCCACCAAAAATGAATGAGCACAGCTGCAAATTGTTTTTAAAAGATTTATTGTATTTTAAAACAACATTAATAGGACTGATAAAAACCAGAAACAACTATCTAACTAAAGCTGCGAAAACATTGATATTTGTGAGCAATAATTCCAAAATGAATGTCTAATAATTAGGCTGTAGAATATAAATGATAAATATGACAATAATAGTAACAATGAATTACCTTTCTCATTATGATACTGCCTTGAATGTGCATGAATGTAGGTTATCTGCTATAAAAAGTCTGTTACTTTATGAAAAATAATTGTATAGTTTGCATCAAACAAAAATGAAGCATTGCAGTAAGAGATATTTATTTTGTACTGCTGTTTTTATATGCATGTCAATTTAATAAATAATATTTCTGCTACAAAACAAACAAAAGATTATAATAAATCATTCAATTCAATGATGAAAGCTGCAAAGCAGTCATCAGTAAATAAATATAAAATAATACACACCTCAAAAAAGAATAGAGAAAAGAAAGTAAGTAAAGTCTCACTTCTATCACTCTTTAAAAGTTTTGGTTTCAGTTTGTGTCAATTTAAAGGTTCAGTCTGAGATGATCTTCATTTTTCTGTGTTAGTGGAAAAGCAGGCGAGTCAGCCGACCCAATTTATGAGCAGGCAGAGCAGGATTCTTGCGCTAACCATCGGCGCAATACCGGTCTTTGTTATGAGCCGCAGTTTCAGTGTAAACTTAGTAAAGGCGAGCTTCTTTGGCGATGACATGTACAGTATTAGATTTGACTTTTAGCGGACATTTGCGCTGAACACGCAGTGAATGCAACGCATGGAGATTCGAGCACCTTCTCCAAGAAGCGCGTACTCAATTGATCTCAGCTGGCGGATCATTATTCACCACGTGACGTGTCATGATCGCTTTCATCTGCGCCTCAACTTTAGGTGGGGTTTGCAAACCTGCATGCTTTAAGTTTTTACTCTTCAGCCGTTTGTATTTCCCGTGGTCATAAAAGCTCCTTCCCTGTCATCTGACAGCGGAATACCTTGAGTGAATGACAGCTAATATGAACCAATATAGCGGCAGGGAAGAGCGATTCAGCACGTTTTTACAAAAAATCAAAACAGGTCGCACTACAACCATCATCTGCAGTCGCAATAATGCGCCCAAATATATTATGAGGTCGCATAGATTAATTTTCGGGCGCATATGCGACCAAAATGGTCGCAATTTCGAGCCCTGCCATATCTGTCATCTAAAGATGTTTATATCTCTTTCAGCTGTGATTTTGCCTACAATATGGCGTTATCTGCAGACTCTGAATGCAGCGCCGTATTTCCTGGGCCTCAGCCTATCAGCATTCAGCTTCAGTGGGCTTCTCGCGGGCCCTTTATTCGGACACTGGTCAGACCGAACACTCACCACCAAGAAAATCATCCTGTTCGCCAACATCTTTGAGATCGTTGGTAAGATTGCATGTGATTAAGAAGCTCCCAGTGTTAATGGCTTTTGGGTAACGTCTGTTTCTCTGTGTGTTTTCAGGTAATTTCATGTATTTTATGGGATTCTCCAAATGGTTGCTGCTCAGCAGTCGTTTAGTTGCAGGTGAGTTTCAGTCTAATGATCTTAAAGGGACATTCATTCATTTTCCTTCGCCTTAGTCCCTTATTTATCAGGGGTCGCCACTGCGGAATCAACCGCCAACTATTCGAGCATGTTTTACGCAGCGGATGCCCCTCCAGTTACAACCCAGTACTGGAAAACACCCATACACTCTCACATTCACACAAATACGGCCAATTTAGTTAATCCAATTCACCTGTAGCGCATGTCTTTGGACTGTGGGGGAAACCAGAGCACCAGGAGGAAACCCACATCAACACAGGGAGAACATGCAAACTCCACACAGAAATGCCAACTGACCCAGCCAGAGCTCGAACCAGCGACCTTCTTGCTTTGAGGCAACAGTGCTAACGACTGAACCATCGTGCCTAGGGAAAGAGAAACTTGTTTGAAGTAAAAAAAAAAAAAAGACACTCTAGTGAGTAAATTGTCCTTTGTTGGGGGTGAACTGTCCCTTTAAGGTGACCTGTTTGTGGTGCGTTGGTGATTTAACCAGTTTCTGGTGTTGTAGGTATCGGCACTGGAGCCGGATCGTCAATCTTCGGCTTTTTGACTAGAAATACAGCTCCCGAGGACAGATCCACTGTTTTTGCTGCTGTCATGGCCTGCCGTCAAGCTGGGCTTCTGATTGGTCAGTGCTGAAGGAATCTTACACACACAAACACACACACAAACACACTATAAATATACAGTTGAAGTCAGAATTATTAGCTCCCCTTTGAATTTTTTTGCTTTAATAAATATTTCCAAAATGATGTTTAACAGAGCAAGGAAATTTTCACAGTATGTCTGATAATGTTTTTTCTACTGGGGAAAGTCTGATTTGTTTTATTTCGGCTAGAATAAAAGCTGTTATTAATTATTTAAACACCATTTTAAGGACAAAATTATTAGCCCCTTTAAGCTAATTTTGTTTTCGATAGTCTACAGAACAAACCATCATTATACAATGACTTGCCTAGTTACTGTAACCTGCCTAGTTAACCTAATTAACCTAGTTAAGCCTTTAAATGTCACTTTAAGCTGTATAGAAGTGTCTTGAAGAATATCTAGTCAAATATTATTTACTGTCATCATGATAAAGATAAAATAAATCAATTATTAGAGATGAGTTATTTAAACTATTATGATTAGGAATGTGTTGAAGTAATCTGCTCTCAAACAGAAATTGGGGGAAAAATAAACAGGGGGGTCTAATAATTCAGAGGGGCTAATAATTCTGACTTCAACTGTACATGGAGATGATGGTTGTGCAATAAAGATTTTAGAAGCTGATTCTTATTTACATTCAGCAGATCAAAATGTGTGTGAACCTGATGTTATTGTATTGGGTAACACTTTACTTGAAGGGGTAATCATAAGACCGTCATGGAACCTTTATAACCATGACTGTGAATGAGATTTTATGCATGCTTATTAAGTGTCATTTGTTTAGTTTTGTCATTCTTAATGCAAAGATTACAGTCTTTGTTCTGAAAACTTGACACAAACGAATACATCACTACCTGTTTTGTCTTTTATTTGTCTTACCAAGACAACATAACATAACATTGTCATAAATCTGTCATAAACATGATTGTCATGAAGTCGTTATTTTTGTCATGAATAACTTTTTTCAGGGGAAAAAAAACTGTATTTACGTTCATTAAAATGTCTCATTAATGACAACCCCTAATCAGAAAAAGTTGTGTGAGTATGGAAAACGCAAATAAAAAAAAAGTAATTTCTAAATTTACTTTGACTTGTATTTCATTGCAGACGATACCAAAAACAAACATTATTTGATGTGTTCCTCATGATTTATTATTGTTTTTTAAATCAAAATAAACATTAATTTTGGTTCTTGCGACACATTTTAAAAAAGCTGTAACAGTAAAGCTTTTACCACTTTTTAATGTTGCCATTAATTTTTACAATGCTTAAAAGACATTTAGGGACTGAAGACACCAAGTGATGAAGTGTTTCAGGTGTAATTTTGTCCCATTCTACCTTCAAACAAGTCTTAAGGTGGGCAACAGTACGGGGTAGGGCTGCTCGATTTTGGGAAAAATCATAATCATGATTATTTTGGTCATAATTTTAATCACGATTATTTAAAATGATTACTGTTGAAGTCAAAATTATTAGCGCTCCTGAGAATTTTTTTTTTAAATAAATATTTCCCAAATTATGTTTAACAGAGCAAGGAATTTTAACAGTATTTCCTCTAATATTTTTTCTTCTAGGCTTATTTGTTTTATTTTAGCTAGAATAAAAGCAGGTTTAAATTTTTTGAAACCCATTTTAAGGTCAACATTATCAGCCCCCTTGAGCAATATATTTTTTGATTGTCTGCAGAAGAAACTACTGTTATACAATGAACTGCTTAATTACCCCTATCAAGGCTTTGAATTGCACTTTAATCTGAATGCTTGTATTTAGAAAAATATCTAGAAAAATTTTATGTACTGTCATCATAGCAAAGATAAAATAAATCAGTAATCAGAAATGATATATAGAAATATTATTTTCAGAAATAGGTTAAAAAAACTTTTTTACATCAAACAGAAATTGGGCAGGAAAAGGGTTGCTAATATTCATGAGGGCTAATAATTCTGACTTCAATGTATACATACAGTTATTTTCCTCCCTGCAAAGGAAAAAAAAAAACCAATAGAATAAAAATATGAAACAAACTGTGCTTTAAGGATTTTCACTGTAAGAATAAAACTTTAGCTACAAAAATCCTTCAGTCAAGAGCAGAGGATTTTCTCGTTTTGTTTGATTAATTATAAAAGCAACATTGCGCGCTGTCTCTTTAATGGTTTCTCTTTCACGTGTCTTTTGATCCTCAACTCGTAACTCGTTTGTTTATTACACAAATGAGGGTTATTATGAATAATCACTAAACACTGCGTTTTGACATCTATTTGACCATTAAAGCGCTCACATTAAGATGACTTTAGATGTCTGCGCCTCATCCGTTTCGCGAGGTGTAGGCGGTCCGCGGTGGTGCGCGATGCGGCGCCAGGCGCAAGTATAATTCCAGCTTCAGTGTGCGAATGAGTCCGAATGCTGACCGGCCGTATGCTTCTTGCTTCATGCTTCATAAGCACGCGGTCTTTCGCACTTTTAGGAGCAACAGCTGGAAAGGGGGCGGTATATGATGCAATAATCGTTTATCTCGATTAATGCTTTTTCATAATCCTTTGAAGCCAAAATCGAAATCGAAATCGGATTTTCGATTAATTGCACAGCCCTAGTAAGGGGTCTTCGTTGTTGCATTTTGTGATTCAAAATTCGCCACACATTCTCTAGTGGAGACAGGTCGGGACTGCAGGCAGACCAGTCAAGTACCTGTTTCCTCGTCCTCCACAGCCAGGACTTTGTAATTTGTGCAGAATGTGGAATATTCATGGAAATGAAGACAGCATATTGTGCTCCAAAATCTCTATGCACTTTTCAGCATTAATGGTGCCATCAGCATTAATGGTGCCAGTTATCTTTGCCACAGGCACAGACACAACCCCAGACCATGACAGACCCTGACTTTTGGTTTGGTTGCTGGTAACAGTCTGATGATCCTTTTCTTCATGGCATCCATTTCTCCCAAAAAATACAGGCAATACTGATTCATCTGATCACAGTACGTTTCCACTGTATAATGGTCCATCCCTGATGCCTCCGAGCCCAGAGAAGTCAACGGCTCTTCTGGACACTGTTAACATAGGGCTTCCTTTTGGCGCAGAAAAGTTTTTAATAATGTTTTTTGTATTGTCTGCAGTGAAATACAAGTCAAAGTGAATTTAGAAATCACTACTGTCTTTTTATTTGCGTTTCCTATACCGTCCCAACTTTATCTGATTTGAGGTTCATTCATTCATTCATTCATTTTCTTGTCGGCTTAGTCCCTTTATTAATCCGGGCTCGCCACAGCGGAATGAACCGCCAACTTATCCAGCAAGTTTTTACGATTTTTAGGATGCCCTTCCAGCCGCAACCCATCTCTGGAAAACATCCACACACACATCCACACACACACTCATACACTACTGACAATTTAGCCTACCCAATTCACCTTAACCGCATGTCTTTGGACTGTGGGGGAAACCGGAGCACCCGGAGGAAACCCACGCGAACGCAGGGAGAACATGCAAACTCCACACAGAAACGCCAGCTGAGCTGAGGATCGAACCAGCGACCTTCTTGCTGTGAGGCGAACGTGCTACCCACTGCGATTTGAGGTTGTACTCCGTCAAATTATTAATATTTAATGACATTTTAATGACAAATTCAGCTTGTACCACTGTTGTTGAGGTAACAAACAGTTGCTGTTATAAAGTTCATGACATATTTATAGTGGCTTCTTGACAGCCATGTTTATGACAGATTTATGACAAGTTCTGTTCAATTTAATTTTGAATAAATATTGTTGAAAAACTAAAACAAAAACAGTAAAACAAACTGACCCAAAGAATGTGAATGGTTGTTGTGCATATGAAAATGATTTCTGCTATGTATATTCTCCTAATAACAGCACATTTTCAGTATATAATTGAGTGTTTCAATCCTCCAGGTCCTGGATTTAACCTCTTCCTCAGACTCTGTGACTTTGAGATGGGACCGTTTATTGTGAACAAATACACCGCTCCCGGGGTGAGACACTGACACTTTACACTACACATTAAGCCTAGTTCACACTACAGGCTTTTTTAACATCAGCAGATCGCTGTGCCGTTCACACTACATGACTTGACTTTGTGTCTTTTAATCGCTGTGGTGTTCACACTACGCAACACTCTGTGAATGATCCACAAGAGGGGGGTCACACACTACATGATCTGACAACAACTCATTCCCCAACAGCTCATTCAAGCTACCAAACCACAGCCAATGAAATTTTGAGGGAGGAGTCGTCAGAAAAAGCTGAACACTATTGGCGGCTTGTGTGCTGATGACATCACTGACAGCATTTCAAGCTTTGGAGAAAGCATTTAAAAACATCGTCAAATTAGCTGATGCATCAGCGGATTAATCACTCATCTGCAAGGTTCCAGTGGATAGATACACAGAGAGTTTTTAATTTTTGTAATTTTATAACTCTTTGAAATAAAACTAACATATCTATAACACCCTGCCGTTTTTAACTATCAGTGTTTTTCTTTCTGACATTGTTATTTTTTTTTATTACAAAACAGTAAAGAACTGAGCATTTCTGCCTTAAATTACCATATTGGTCAAAATGACTGCATGCATGTCTGATACTTTTCACTGTGACTTTAAATAAGTGTGCATTTTCTTGCCTAGCAACTTCCTGCTAACATAAACAAAACTTTCTGATGGCAAAAATATCAATTTACTTCAGATATCTTTTAAAACAGCATATTCTGTGCCAAATAGCTCCTGTTTGAAAGTGAAAATGAAAGCCAAGACTTTTGCATGTTCTAGTCTCTTAACTACATATTTATAGGCTGTATTACCAAAAAAAGGATATATTTTTAGGGTAATGGTGTCATTAAATATGATGCCAGACATTCAAAGCTTAATTTTAATATCTCAATAATAGCTTTGAATGTAAATATGTTGTGACAGTATGGCGTTTTATATGAGAACTGTCAGAATGAGCAGTATGGTAATTCTAATAGTTACAGAGTTCTAGTTCCACTGTTAATATAGCCTATTCTCATGTCTGTGCTAACGCAGAATGAAGCGAGTGCACTGATGCCCATTCTGACCAATCACAGATGTTTCTGCTGAGCTCCTGAACACACAGGCATTCAGCTCATGCTGATCTGCTCTCTCATTGGCTGCAGCTCGTCACTACATCGGACCACACGTGGGGTTGAGTAGGCCGACTGCTCTGGAATATTTAGCATGCTAAATGTTGGATTTCCGTCTGCGAGGTGTCGGCGACGCGTCAGGGAGCTTCGTTGATGCGTTGTTCAGTAGTTCACACATAAAGAGCTTGATTTCTTCCCGATCACAGCCCGATCTGTCGGCGAGCTCATTAACTTCCAAATCGGTCTCAAATCAGGCTTAAAATCCTCTAGTGTGAACTAGGCTTTAGTTGCATCCTGAATGACACACTTAAAGTGCATTTTGCGCGTTGGTGTGCACAATCACATTGACTCCCTTTATATAGTCACGAGGTAGTAAACGTTGACAGAAAACGCGAGCAAAAAACGTCAAGGTGTGCACGGGCCTTAACAGACGGAAAATAACAACTGTTTCAATAGGACTGTTAAACTCATGGACAGTTTGTCTGTGTTTCAGCTCTTCATGTGCCTGCTGTGGATCCTCCTCCAGCTGGTGGTGGTCTTCATGTACTGGGACATCTCTCCTGAAGATGAGCGAAGGAGCCAGAGGAGCCCAGAGCAGGAGGAAGAAGAAGAAGAGGAGGAGGAAGAGGCCAAACCTCTGGTCGGCCCCAACGAGCTGAGCGGTTCATACGGGACTGTCACCAGCATCCAGTCCAGAGCCTCCTCAATGGCCAACGGGGACCTGACTTGTGTTTCTCCTCCACCGTCACCCACTCCTGAGGAGCTCAGCTCCAGTGTCTTCAAGAGCTTCAGTGCCAGCAGAGGTCAGACACTGATAATACAAACATTAATCATAACAACGACAAATTCAGAAATGATTATAACTCTAGTCAGGACGAGTCTTGCGTCTTGCCTGCTTGCATAAAAGTGCAAGTAATTTAAGGTGGAAAACAATCGCTGAGGTAAGGGATTTCATTGAGCGTTGCAACAACCTTCTTACTGTCATCCTTACCCAAGTGCCTTTTCTAAGAGTTTTACTGTAGCTTGCTATAGTTACGTAAACAGATCGCAATGAACCATGAAAGTTTGTCTTTCAATAACTGCAATACACATCATCTGTGCTGTTTGCTTTCTGTTAAGCGAGTCGAGACGTTCCGTTCTCGAGTCGATCTTAACACTATCTATAGAGGAACACTCAACTGAGATCATGTAGAGTCATGTGGTTAGGTTTAGGCTTAGGGCTAGAGTTAGGTTAAGGGTTAGGGCTAGAGTTCCGGTTAGGGTTATGGTCACAGCTAGGGTCAAGGCTAGAATAGGTTTAGGGCTAGGTTTTGAAAGAATTACAACAACTCCCCCCATCCTAGCGCTAGTCTAGGTAGGTTTGAAGTAGGGAGATTGAGGAGGTGTGCACGGGCCCACGCTTCTCTGACTACATACATAAAAGCGTTGATCTCCCCCCTCCAGTGTGGGAGGGTTAGCCTTGTTTGTGGGCTTTGGGCTTAAGATTTGATGAGAGGAAGTGTTTTTGTGTTCTGATTGTTGGCTGTTGCGCAATGTGCCAACGTCTTCGGGATGGTTTTGATGGGTTAGGATGCTGTACGGATCGATGGGTGAGGTTTGGGATTTATTTCTCCTTTTGTTATTCCCTCAAGACCAGTTTTGAGAGGGAAATGTTTAAGACACTTCATCAGTAGTGTACCTCAGATTCATCGGGTGTTTCGATTCTTTAAACACTAGACACCCTCATCTGAGGCGATCAGCACTGGTTGATCAATTCCAGGCCAGTGTCTTACTGCCAATTTGTGATAAGAAGTTGACCAGATCCTCAATCTGTTTGATTTGGGTTCTGGTTTTTAATCAGGGTTGTTAGGGGGTTTGTGTGTGGTTTTTCCAAAGGCTTGGGGTTAAGTTTTTTGATGGCTGAGGGTTGGGTTTAGGGTTTGGTGTGGGTGAGGGTTAGGTTAAGGGTTAGAGCTAGGTTTAGGGTTAGGTTTAGGGTTAGGGCTAGATTTAGGTTTAGGGTCAGAGTTAGAGCTAGGGCTAGGGTAGGGTTGGCCACCCCTGGGCTAGTTCTAGGGTTAGGTTAGGGTTAGGGTTTGCGTTAAGGTTAGAGCTAGGGTTAGGAGTGGCCCAAAGATGAAACGAAAGCTGAAAATAAACACTTGAGTGGAATTGAGACAAGAGAGGACAATGTCAACAGCAGATTAGAGTCAGTATATCTGCTGAGGTTTCACTCATTCATAGTGTTTTAAAGACTAACTGTTTGACCTTGACATCGTTTTTTAATCTGAATTATAATGAAGTGGATCTTAAAAATATCTTTTACCTGTTTGTTGTAATATCATTAAATAAATAAATAATTGAAAAGCATAGCTGATAAACAAACAATTTTGCTAGGTAAATGAAGTAAGAAATATTGTTATTGCAATAATGTTTCTTCTTTATTCAAGTCTTCTTCTTGGTCTGAAAGCGTTTCTCCTGGGTGGAATTTAATATCATAAGCAGGCATATTGACTTATTAATATACTAATAGGATTACTGTATAATTTGTGGTTTCATTTTCAAATCTGCTTTACTTAAAGGAGAACTTAATGATCTTGGTTTATAAGCGGTTTGCTCTATTTTTACCACTTCATTATTAAATGTTTTACAAATATGCATTGTTCTACTGTAAATTTCAGCCTTTCTAAATAAGATTGATTTAATGTGTGTGTGTGTGTGTGTGTGTGTGTGTGTGTGTGTGTGTGTGTGTGTGTGTGTGTGTGTGTTTCTGCTTTCAGAGTTCCTCAGAGAGGAGGTGGTGGTGCTGTTAGCTGCTCAGTTTATCACGCTTTTCAATCAGACCGCACTGGAGGTGAACACACACTCATGTACAACTGTCTTTATGGGGACTTCCCATAGACATAATGATTTTTATACTGTACAGACTGTTTGATTCTGAGCATTTTCAAAATTAACCGTCAGATTTTACTGGTTTTGCTAAACTTGTGGGGACATTTGTTAATGTAAGAAATCAAAGGCTATAACTGATCATATGCTCATTTTAAATTCAACTTAATTTTAAGGCCATGGAAAACCTGAAAAAAAAAATTGACATGGTATTTTCCAGGCCAAACCCACAAAGTTTTGGAAACGCCATGGAAATTTGTTGACGAAATATCTGTACACTTGAATATAGGTTAGTTGTCTTCACTAATTTTCTGTCCCTGACAAATCACATGCTCTCACATTATTAGTGCTGTGCAAGCAATATCTAAATACATTTTACAAAGATGTAAAAATAAATGTAAACTATATAGATTGTTCCGTTTTTTACCATAGGCTGTAATAAATTTGATAAAAATATATACATATATATAGACATTACATGAAACATTAGGTCATGAAAATTTACTTGATAGTCATGGTAAAGTCTATTTTAGTAGCTGGGGGTCCAATTTTAGAAAGATTTTAGTTGTAAAAATGTGTAAATGTTTGTTTTTTGTCCCTGTAGACTATGGTGACTCCTCTGACGCAGAAGTTCTTCAACTTTGGCGAGCTGGAGAACAGCATTATGTACTGTGTGTGTGGCGTGGAGGTGATCGCTGGCTTTCTGTTTGTGCGCTGGTTCAGTAAGCGTGCGGCGGAGCGTGTGGTGCTGGCTGTCGGACTGATCCTCTGCAACATCTCCTGCGTCTGGTGTCTGATCTTCCTGGCCAATCCACAGGGTAAACACACGCTTTTAGCGCTGCACATATTAGGGACCATCAGCGGTTACATCGGTTTGAAAAAGTCAGGGTTTGAAACCGCAAAAATGTTCTGTTATTCCGTTCCAAAGGTATATGTAAGGTTTTTTTACATGGTTTTTATTATGACTATTTTATCTACAGTGGGGAAAATAAGTATTGAACCAAATGTTTGGTTGAAAACCACATAAAAAAAATTTAAAAATTAAACAAAACAAAAAAATCTGAAAAATATTGCGTGTAATAACAAAAGTTATTAAAACTTATTCAATACTTTGTATAAAAGGCTTTTTTGGTGCTGCAGCTTAAAGACGCCTCTCATATGAAGAGTTCAATTCAATTCACCTTTATTTGTATAGCGCTTTTACAATGTAGATTGTTTCAAAGCAACTTCACATAGAAGATCATGGTAAATTTAAACAGTGTAGTCTAGTTTTCAGAAGTTCAGTTTAGTTCAGTTCAGTGTGGTTTAATAATCACTACTGAGAGTCCAAACACTGAAGAGCAAACCCATAGATGCGCAGCTCTACAGGTCCCGAACCATGCAAGCCAGTGGCGACAGTGGCGAGGAAAAAACTTTACCAATTGGCGAAAGTGAAGAATTACAAAACCTCGAGAGAAACCAGGCTCAGTTGGGCACGACCATTTCTCCTATGGCCAAACGTCTTGTGCAGAGCTGCAGTCTAGGCGCTGGAGAAGCGGGACGTCAGCGAGACTCGTCTGTCCCTGGATCATCACAGAAATCAGTCTCATGTTCTACACTCCTCCATGAACACCTCAGCAGCTGCTCAGGATACGGCCTGGTCCAGGATTATAGAAACCCTGGGATCATCTCGTCGATGGTCTTGGATTGAATCAGTGGCGCTGCATAGTCTGAGGGCCTCGGGATGAATATCCCCATGTGGAAGTAGAGAATAAAGAGAATAATTAGCGTAGCTGCTGTTCATAGTGTATATAAACAAGATGAAGAAACCTGTGTGGAGCACATTCACGTATCATACCGCTAAGGTCTTTAATTTAGTTTTGAACTGAGAGAGTGTGTCTGAGCCTCGGACATTATCAGGAAGGCTATTCCAGAGTTTAGGAGCCATAAATGAGAAGGCTCGACCTCCTTTAGTGGACTTTGCTATGCTAGGTACTACCAGAAGGCTGAGTTTGAGATCTTAAAGAGCGGATTGGACTGTAGCGAGACAGAAGGTTGGTTTGATAAACAGCAGCTAGATTATTCAAAGCTTTATAAGAAGCAATATTTTAAAATAAATACGAAACCTAACAGGCAGCCAGTGTAAGAAGGATAAAACTAGGGTGATATGATCATATTTTCTAGACCTGGTAAGAACTCTGGCAGTTGCGTTTTGCACTAGCTGAAGTTTGTTAATAGGGGATGCTGCGCAGCCAGCAAACCGAGCATTACAGTAATCCAGCCTAGAGGTCATAAAAGCATGGACTAGCTTTTCTGCATCTGAGATGGATAGCATGCTTCGTAACTTAGCGCTATTTCTCAGATGAAAGAAGGCAGTTTTTGTGACATATATGATTTTCAACAGTTAAATTGCTGTCTAATAAAACCCCCAGATCTTTTATAGTAGAGCCAACGCTAACGTTGTGTCCCTTTAACTGCAGGAATGAAGTGAATAAAGTCTCATGCATTGATCAGGTGTGAGTTTACACAGACTTCAACAGAGTGTAAAATCTTGATGCTTTGTGGGTCTCGTCTATCAAATCTGATCTTTATTTTGTATTCTCTATTGCAGGGGTCACCAAACTTGTTCCCGGAGGGCCGGTGTCCTGCAGATTTTAGCTCCAACCCTAATCAAACACACCTGAACAAGCTAATCAAGGTTTTACTAGGTATAGTTGAAACACCCAGGCAGGTGTGTTGAGGCAAGCTAGAGCTAAACCCTGCAGGGACACCGGTCCTCCTGGACCGAGATTGGTGACCCCTGCTCTATTGGATTCAGGGAGGTGATTGGCTGGGCCATTCTACAGCTTGATTTTCTTTCTCTGAAAGCATCTGAGAGTCTCCTTGGCTGTGTTTTGTCTTGCTGAAATGTCCACCCTGGGTTTATCTTCATCTTTCTGCTAATGTAGATGTTGGACTGAAGCAGCTGATATTCAATTACACTGAGGAAGAGCAAAGGGTTGCTGAAGAACTACTGAGAGATTTCAGCTGCTGTCTGGGCTTTCCCTCCCTTTTTTCATGTGTTCAAAAGTTTCTCCCTGCGCCATTTACTTTTATTGAGCATAACTTAAATTTTAAACTAATTAGCTTTGTTTTCTTTGCATAAATGGATTTCTTTGGTTGTTTCCAACATTCAGGGAAAATTTCAAGTCAACAGCAACTTCTGAGAAAAATGTTGACATGTTCAATAGTTATTTCTCCTGCTGTGGTTTTGTTTAGAGCAACAGTTTCTCCAACAGAAAATGACTTTACTGCAGAAAAGGACTTTAAAAGCAACAATTTACTCACTTTTTTAAGTAAAGCAAACGAATACATTTTTACTGCGTATATACCGGAAAAAAAAACCCTACACATGTTTTTGTGATTCAGGTGGCTTCGCATGGCAGCTGGCAGAGTTCATCATTGGTGTTTTCCTTCAGGTCCTGGGCCTCCCATTTGTGGCTGTCGCTCAGGTGTCTCTCTTTTCCAAAATCACAGCAGAGAAAACACAAGGTCAGTAAATATAAAAGTCATATTATTAGATGGTTTATGTAGACCTGTAGTCGTATAGATAGACAGACAAGTGTGGATGCTTGAAGGTAAGGGGTGCTGTATGGAAGCCAGTTTTGCTTATAACACTTCATTCATTCATTTTCCTTTGGGTTAGTCCATCATTTATCAGGAGTCACCACAGCGGAATGAACCGCCAACTATTTTGGCATATGTTTTATTCAGTGGATGCTCTTCCAACTGCAAACCAGTACTGGGAAACACTCACTGGGAGACTCTCTCTCACACACACACACACACACGCGCACACACACACTACGGCCAATTTAGCTTAACCAATCCCCCTATAGCACATGTGTTTGGACTTTTGGGGGAAACTGAAGCAACCGGAGGAAACCCACACCAACACGGGGAGAACATGCAAACTCCACACAGAAATGCCAACTGGCCCAGTCGAGATGCAAAACAGAGACCTTCTTGCTGTTAGGCGTCAGTGCTAACCACTAAGCTACCATGCCGCCCCATATAACACTTATTTATTTTTATTTTAGGGTGTAATTGTGAACCAATTGCTAACGTTAGGAGAACCTTGTGTTTTCTACATCTGAAAAATGGCCACATCTACTGAGCTTTGGCAATGTTTAGGAGGTAAAAGGATGAAAGGTTGACTGCACTATTGACAGCAGATGTTTTGACAGAAATATGGGACCGCTCCTTCACACATTAAGAGCTCTTTTCAACCTTTAGGCAAGTCAAGCAGCATTCAAACCTCATCTTGACTAATGTGTCTAGTTTTTCTGGTTTGCAAGTCAATGTTTGCCTGCAAGTTTGCACTGAAGGTCTGGGCCCGGTTGCATGAAAGCTAATTTTTGCAGAAATCCCTTAGTTATAAGGTTATAGGAACTCTTAGTAAAACTTGTGTTGCACATTTTAAATAAGGCTCAGCTGAAAATTTGATTGGTCAGATGATCTGAAGAGAAACTAAAATATTAGGTGATGTAAAAAAAAAAAAGGTGGGCCAGTTGGTGTTTCTGTGTGGAGTTTGCATGTTCTCCCCGTGTTGGCGTGGGTCCGTAGTGTATGTGTGTGAATGAGTTTGTATGGGTGTTTCCCAGTGATGGTTGCAGCTGGAAGGGCATCTTCTGCGTAAAACATATGCTGAATAAATTGGCGGTTCATTCCGCTGTGGTGACCCCAGATTAAAAAAGGGACTAAGCTGAAAATGAATGAATGAATGAATGAATATGAGATTCAACTTTAATGCTTGTTTTGGCTCCAGCTCCACGCCCACAGACTGACACATTGAGGTAAATCAGGCTTTCCTGTCTCTGTGTTCAGTCCAACACTTCCACTGTATCTGTTCAGCTGATTTAAACTCGACTGGCTGCTTTACTTCCACTTTAAGGACTTTAATCCAACCGGGCCCTTGTTCTGTGTTGTCAGGCTTCAGTCAGGGCATCCGCCGCTCTGTGGGAGGACTGGCCACTATCCTGGGTCCTCTATGGGCCGGTGGTCTGACTTCTAACCTGTACGTGATGATGGGCGTCATGATGGGCCTGCTCGCCCTGCTTACTGTGAGTCCACACACACACACACACACACACACACACACACGCACACGTTTCCGTATTTTGGTGATTCACAAGTGTTTTCAGTTGCATTATGGGATGTTGATTTCAGCTCTGTCTGCTTTTGATGTTGAAAATTCAACAAATTGACATTTTAAGTACTTTGAATCAATATCTAGAGAAATAAGTGTCTAGAACAGGGGTAGACGATAGTTTGTGGCCCCCGCTTTAATTTAAAAGTTTAATGTCAGTGTGGCCTGCGAGTTTAAGGGTGCTTTCACACCTAGACTTTTGTTTCGGAACCTGTCTCGTTTGCCCAGATAGCGTGGTACGTTTGTTTGGCATATGTGAAACCAGCAATCGAGCTTGGATCCACGCCAAATCAATCGCTCTGAGATCGCTTGAATTAGAGGTCTGCAAATTTCAGAATAATGAATAATGAATTATGAATAATATTCATTAATAATAATGCGTGGGAGCAGTCGGTAACGGGTTTAATTTGAGACGGGAGCAGGCCGTCTAGCAATATCGCTCCCCACTTCCTGCCGAGCGAGCATGTGTATGTGTGTGTGTGAATGAAACAGCGCGATGCTGTGTTTTATCTTGTTTGTTGCTGTGTGTGTGTGTGTTTATACAGACAGCTTGTTATAGGCTGTCTGGACTCTGTATAGCTGGGTGGTTTTCAGTTTTGTTCTCCTCCCCGCTCTTTAGCAGGATCGGGCACAGCGGGTAGAAAACAAGGCGGGGCGGGTCGGGCAGCGGAACAACAAATGCTGAAAATAAGCAGGAGTGGTCGGGTTCGGGCTAAAACCTGGCGGAAACGGGATTCAAAATTTAGTCCCGCGCACATCTCTAGCTTGAATGAGGTGGTCTCGGCTCGATTGAAACAAACTCTGGAGGGGATCGATTGCCGTGAGAAAGCAATACGATCCTATCGAGGTTATGTCACTGTGTTTTATGGATATGTAATAGGCATACGACTATATGAAAAAAAGAGTTATAAGTAGGACGAGAAGTTTTCGCAAGTCTCCTGGATGCCCGCAAACGAGTGATAATCTCCCGGTGATCTCGCGTCTCCCTCCCGGTCCTAAAATAGACTACGTCGCGCACCCTTCTTACCCCTCTCCACCGCATTTCTCCTCACTCTTCAGACACGTCACGCACAGCTTGTCAAACACCACCAAACCACCTTGGGACTCAAAATAAACCCTGACTCTGACCAATGTGAGGAGAGTTTACTCGCATGTGACTTGTTTTAGCTCTTTTTGTCCGATTATAAACTTTGCAGTGTGAAAGCGAACCGCTCCAAGAGCAAAGAGCAACAATGTAACAATTGTAATCTCTGTTTCGGAACAACTGAATCCATTCACAGGTGTGGAAGCACCCTAATATGTATCACACAGTGTTGTGTGCGGAGCTGAACGAACCCACCAATCACAGTTGGGTATATGGCTCTTGGGGGCGGGACATTGGCTGGTCTTGACACAGGCAGAAAAACATTTCTAAGTAATAACGGGGTAAGCAACATAATCCTGCTTGTTTCACTTAATTTTGACTCATTTCTTAAAACAGGACAATATATTTTTGCTTGACTAATGCTTCTTGATTAAAGAATGGTTAGACATTTAAACCAGAAACAAGACAAAAACTCTGAGTAAGAAAAGTGTTTTAGCAGTGTGTGTGTGTGTTAAACTGCGTAAATGCTTGATTGACAGGTGATGATGGTGGTGTCATATGAGCGTCTGGTGGAGCCTGTGACTGTAGATGATCCAACAGAAACCGAAGTTGAAGACTGACCCAGGTAATCACTTAAAGCGTTTCAGTCGCTAACACCCTTGATATTAAAATATACACTGTAAGAAATTTACATATATATAAAGTTGATTTTTTTTTCTTTTTTCAATATTTCCCAATTGATGTTTAACAGAGCAAGGAAATTTTCACAGTATGTCTGATAATATTTTTTCTTCTGGAGAAAGTCTTATTTGTTTTATTTTGGCTAGAGTAAAAGCAGTTTTAAATTTTTTAAACACCATTTTAGGGTCAATTATTAGCCCCTTTTCCGCTTGTCTACAGAACAAACCATCGTTATACAATAACCTGCCTAATTACTCTAACCTGCCTAGTTAACCTAATTAACCTAGTCAAGCCTTTAAATGTCACTTTAAGCTGTATAGAAGTGTCTTGAAAAATATCTAGTCAAATATTTTTACTGTCATCATGACAAAGATAAAATAAATCAGTTATTAGAGATGAGTTATTAAAACTATTATGCTTAGAAATGTGTAAAAAAAATCTGCTTTCCATTAAACAGAAATAAACAGGGGGGCGAATAATTCAGGAGGGCTGAATTCTGACTTCAACTGTATATGGAGCAGCTGATTATTTAACAATTGTCTTGTGCTGTTTGTAGGTTTAGCCGTCACCTGGTCCGTTTGCCGAATCGTTTGACTCATTTGAATCATTTGGAAGCTCTTCAGGGTTGATTGAGTCGCATGTGTTACTGCAGATCCAGATGAGTTTGATCTGATTCACTGCTGACACGCAGATTTGGAGACTTCAGGACTGCGGTAAGAGGAATGAAACAGACCAATGAGAGGAGGAATAAATGTGGAGAATAGTCGAATCATTTCTGCACTGTGCGGAGTTTGGATGTGGGGGAAAAGACTCTTGATCAATTCCACTATATTTCCTATGGAAATTCCTGTAGAGTAAATGTTTAAAGGAAGAACAGGTTATATTCTGTGGGAAAACTCTGTGTGTGAGATTTTATGTCAGTAAAGCGATAAATGCAATAATTTTAGCACAATATGTATTTGGGAGCTGTTATTGATTTAATGAAAGAATTAAATTAGCTGTGTGTTTGCAAAATGATAAACGTCACTCGGGTTCTTCATTATTATTATTTGTATTTGTTTTTGCTTGATAAAATACTGATAACTTGATTTAAAACATCATTGCAACATTCAGAATAATAATTGTTATTATGTCCGAACAGCCTTTTTCGTGAATATGATCAAAAATAAAGAGCAAAACACTATTCACGAAACACATTTTAACTGATTAAAAAAAGGTATAAAGCTTTATAAAAAGAATTTGATTTATTTTTAACTATACAAGCATTAAAATGTAAACATGATAAGTACAAAAACAACATTAATTTGAAACTATATATTTAGGAATAATAATTTGCATTCATTTATTACAGGTCTTGATTTATGTCATAGTAATATTATTTAGTCACTATTATATTACACTTAGCATTACATTCCTCTCACAGTGAAATTAATTAGACTGTATAGTCGTTAAACCACTGTATAAGCACATCAGTCCATCAACTGTACACTAGAGGGCGTCCCGAACCCACATAAAGCAAAATCCAGCAAGCAGAAATATGGAATATTAAAAACACTTCCGTTTCCTTAAAAAGATTACATGCCAGTATTTGTTAGAGAAAGAACACTGATTAAACAACATATTACTGTCAGTTACTATGTTAAAAAGAACAAGATTACAGTCTTTTTGTCCAAAATGAGCAAGATCTGAAAGAATTTATTTAAGGTCTATAATATGTGTCATAAATGAGTGCAATTTAAAGATGGTGATATGTGAATCAAATAAAAACATTTGTTATTTATATTATACAGTATGTTATAGCTGAGGTATCGAATGTTTCAGATAATTATAAAATAATAATAATAAAAAAAGATCATTTCAATAAAACACACACACACACACACACACACATAAATCCTGATTTTATATATATATATATATATATATATATATATATATATATATATATATAGTGTGTGTGTGTGTGTGTGTGTGTGTGTGTGTGTGTGTGAGTAAATTAATCTTTTTTTTTTTTTTTATTTATATCTATATAAAACACACACGCCCCCCACACACAAACACACAGAAAGAAAAAGAGAGAGTGTGTGTGTGTTTGATACATATATATATCTCTCTCTCTCGCTCGCGTGTGTGAGACATATAAAAAAAAATATATATATTTAT